GGCGGCCGGTGCCGGGCCGCGGGCGCTTCGCTGAGGTAACCGCTCGTTCTGCGGGAGTGCCGAGGGAACGGAGCTCCTGGCGGGACCTCCCCGGGTTGGAGTCGTCCTGTCAGTGAGGAAATGAATATGACTGATGCAGCTGCAGCATGTCGCGTCGTTTCAGAAACAAGGGAAAGTTATTGGGCCTCCTCTTGTGAGAGACCACGAAAATGGTATTTCTTAGCACGTGCCAGTTTATAATTGATTTCCAGATCACTTCAGGGAATACAGTCTTGGAAGGCAGTTAGCGATAATTTAGTTCCGCAGCAAAGACTCCCAAAGGCAGCAAGCGTCCCTGCAGCACGCCTCCCTGCCCCCAGTTAGAATTCAATATCAATTTCCATTACAGGTAGCATTGTCCTTCCAGCTTATATTTAAAAATCTCTTTATTGAGCCTTAATTATTATGATCTCCTCTGATTTTCACATGATACCAGGTTTTCTGCATTTGGGTGGCCTTCGCACTGCTTTGTACAATTATATTTTTGCCAAAAAGCACCAAGGGACCTTTATTTTGAGAGTGGAGGATACAGATCAAAATCGAGTGGTGCCTGGAGCTGCAGAAGGAATAGAAGATATGCTGGATTGGGCAGGTATTTATAAACGTCTTTCATCTTTCACTCACTGAAGCCAAAACACAGTGAAAGTGGCCCAATGTGCAGCTGTAACAAAGGTTGTCCATGAGAGACATGATGGAAAGGTCAGAAGTTGGAGCTTACAGACCTCACTGTAAACTGATAAATTGTTTGTATATGGAGTATTTGCTAAAGGGTATCTGGAGGTGTCAGTTTTCATTTTGAATCCTCTGCTGCTTTTTAAGCTTAGAAGAGAGGGTGATTTTAGAATGAAGAATAGTCATGAAGTTAGAGCCAGATCCCGCGGATGCTGCCATTAATGGGTAGGTAAGCTTTAAGGGACTAGGACTTTGCTGTTGATGAATAACTTTGCAGTAGGTAAAATAATTGGCTAAGGTCTCAACTGTAGTTTTGTGGTATGAGTGTTCTGTAGTATAAAAAGGGTGGATGTTACTTGGGATGTGTACACCTGACTGCATTTTGCTCTAGGTAGTGTATCAGAGCTGCTCAACTATTTACTAGGTTTTGGTATTTTTTCCTGCTTGTTCCTTCACACACAATACTCTGAAGTTCTAACGGTTTTGGCTGCTGTTTATATTCCGAGTCAAGGGGAATCTGACTCTTGTGCTGGCCAGATGCCGTTAGCTGGCTGTCCTGGAGCAGAAACCATCTGTGGATGCTCCCTAGCACCTTGCTGTTTCATCTTCATTCAGTGTGCTCCAATGGTGGGTTTCACTCTGCCTTTTGATGGCATTTCTAAGTCCCGTCATACTGATATTTCAGGTATTCCCCCTGATGAGAGTCCTCGCCGCGGTGGTTCCTTTGGACCCTACCAGCAGTCACACAGACTTGACCTTTATAAGAGCGCCAGCGATGTGCTTTTGGAGAGAGGTGCGGCGTACCGCTGCTTTTGTACCCCTCAGCGCCTGGAACTGCTGAAGAAGGAGGCTTTGCGGAGCCAGCAGACCCCGCGGTACGGATTCCTTGTCCCCTGGGTGATTCCCTCTGTGCTCCACGCTTGCAAAAACTTACGACAACGTGCATGGCAATAGGATTGTAATGTCACTGCCTGTAGAGAGAGAAGCCAGTGTAACCCTTAGAGGCTTAGGGGAGCGACCCTCAGAGATGGGGTAGTTTGATTGGATACATAGTGGACAGGTTACAGCTAAAATTCAGGGATCAATTTTAAGTTTTGGGAATGTGAAAATGGCTGATGGGGTTGGCCTGTGTTGAACTGAGACCTTCATTCTCCTTTCTCAAAGATACGACAACCGGTGCCGGCACCTGACACCTACAGAAGTGTCTGAGAAGCTGTCACAGGGCCTTGACTGGGTAGTCCGCTTCCGGCTGGAGAAGGGGGTGGAACCCTTTCAGGATCTGGTCTACGGCTGGAGCAAGCACGAAGTGGCTGACGTGGAAGGAGACCCAGTGATTCTCAAGGGTGACGGCTTCCCCACTTACCACCTGGCAAATGTGGTGGATGACCATTACATGAGCATCAGCCACGTCCTGCGTGGAACCGAGTGGCTGACTTCGACATCCAAGCATCTCCTTCTCTACAAAGCCTTTGGCTGGGATCCCCCTCAGTTTGCTCACCTCCCGCTGCTTCTGAACAAAGACGGTGGCAAGCTGTCAAAAAGGCAGGGGGACATCTTTCTGGAGCGTTTTGCTCAGGATGGCTACTTGCCAGAGGCTCTGCTGGACATCATAACCAACTGTGGCTCTGGATTTGCAGGTAATGCCGACAGGCTCGGTACTTGCTGGGACACTTCTTGATGCTGACTTTGGGGAATGGGTTAGGTTTATTTTAATAGCCTTCTGTTTGAAGGGATTAGGAAATGGGTGTCAGGCAACCAATCTGTCACTGAAACGCCACCAGGCCTGCAAAGCTCCTGTGAAAGACTGGGTGGTGTACTGGAATGGTGGGAATCTTTCTGCCTCTGTGCAGCCATTTAAATTGAGTCTGATGCTTAATGGGTTCTCACTTAGGACAATATTTATCTCAAGGTGAAGAAACTGTCTGTGAACTCTTGGGAAAACTTGTATTTTATGGTTAATAATTGCAATGTCACGTATTACATCTGTCACACTTCTTGTTTAACCTGAAAGACCACGAGAAATGAGTCAATGACTCCTTTTGTTGCTCTTGCTGTTGGGGGATCATAAATTAACTTGTGTTTTGGGAACTCTGCTTGGGAATGAAACCTTTCTTGGGCAGTGGAACCTCCTGGCTGAGTGTTACTTCCTTTTGGCTGACTGATGCAAGGGTGTTCCACTGAAGAGCAAAGCAGAATGTCCCAGTTTCCAGTTCCCCACCAGTAGTTAGCAGAGCCTGCTCTTAAGGAGAGGGCAGCTTCCCATGTGTGCCTGCTACAAGTTCTCTCCTGTTTGCCAGGGTACATCCCTGTTAATACTGTGAAAAGTAGCTCTCCTGGTCACTTCTTCCATGGCTGTGCTGCTGCCCCAGCCTTGACCCTGAGGCTCGCAGTGAAAAGCAGTGATGCTGGTTCCTTGCAGGAGACTGGATGTGTGTCATTCCCTTGTTGGGTTATTTTGCAGAGAAACAAATGGGGAGGACTTTGGAGGAGCTGATCTCACAGTTTGAAATAGGCAGAATTACAACCCATTCTGCCCTCCTGGAGCTTGAAAAAATCCCAGAATTCAACAGGTATAAATATCAGTGGTAACTTTAAAATTAATAATCTGTACACCAGTGAGAATTTATTCCTAGCACTTGGCTTTGTCTGGCAGTTTTGTTTATTGGGTCAAGCATGGTCCTAGTGCAGTGGCTTTTTGGCTGTCCTAGAGCAAAGTATAAGTTTCTGCTTACACTGTTCCTGTCCCCTCTCCTGTCCTGTGCTTAGACACTGGTGTTGGGCACACTACAGAAGCCTGGGCAGATGGTGTGTAGCTAGGAGGATGCAAGGTTTTAAGTTTAGATTCAAAATAACATCTAAAAAGAGGCAACACTTCTGGGACTACGCTCATATGCTACAGGGATGTTTTGCTGCTGAGATTTACCACATCTTTTGTTCACTGTGGTGCATTAGCGCTTAAGGTTTTGTTGTAGAATGCCTGTCTGGGGTTTAATGTTGCTTTTCTAACAGTTTTACTTGGTAAATGTTGTGAGGTTGGGATGATTAGATCCAATCTAACCCACACCAGTCTAAATGCAGTTTTCTTCTTTGTTACAGGATTCACCTCACCCGTCATATTGAGAATGAAGGGCTGCGACAGAAGCTAATTAGGGAGGTGCAGTTGCTGGTGGAGCGCGTATATGGGGATCAACAAGTGGATCAAGAGGTTCTAGAAAAGGAGTATGTGGAGCGAGTCCTCCTGCTGAGAAAAGTATGACCAGGGATACCATCATGTCACCATTTTGGGGAGCTGAGGTTTTGTGGGATTTCTGGATGAAGACTCAGCTGAGTCCTGGGCACTGCTTTGATCTGAGCTCTGAAGCTGCGCAGCCTGCAAATGGTTGTCGCTGCCAGCTCAAGTGGGTGTGTGCATGCTGAATGCCAAAAGCTAACCTGTAGGAACAGGCGTGGTGAATATCGTGGTGGTCTTTGCAGAGTCGTAAGCTGATCTGTGCTTTGCCAAGCCAGCAGAGAGCTCCCTCAGCAGAGGGAGGACACATCCCTGCCGTGGAAACTAATCATGGCACTGTAGGATGTTTCTTGGAAGATCTCCCTGGTTCCTGCTCAGAGCAAGACTGTCAGTAGTGTGGGTCAGGTCAGCTGTGGCTTTGTCAAGATGACTGGTGACAATCTCCAAGCTGTGCTTCTCCTCCTGTACCCCAGGATGCGGCTGGCTTGTGGTGGGAAGGGCCAGCACCTGGTTCCCTCTGTGCCAGGAGACTGCTCACCTCTCGCTTTTGCTGACTGGGCAGCCTAAGGTGCTTCTGCTTTGCCGCTGCTCCATGCTTTGGAAGCAAAGTCAGAGCAACCTCCTTGAAGAGGTGGATGAAGCTCTTGGTTAAACTAGTGGGGTTAGTGGATTGGGAGCCCTGGTCTCGGCTAAGTGGCAGAGTGCCGACTGTGAGTGGGACAGAAGATATTGTAGCTCTTCCCAATGCCAAGAAGGAGGGTGAGCCCAGCTGTTTCCCAGTCTGCCCCTGGGATGCTGCTTTAGTATCTGGGGACTTCCTTGTGAAGAATAAAGCTTTCTTTATAAGGGCAGGAAGAGAACCGACTGTTCCAGCGTGAAGGCTTTGCTGTGGCAGTGGGACGGTGACTCATGTGACTTCCCACTGTCTGTGGAAAGGTGGCAGATGAACGTGGCGAGCCACTTCCCCGGGCTAACTCTGAGTCAGCCCGCACGCGGCTCTGCAGCACGGGTACTGCCGCGGCTCTTTGGGCTTCTTCTGTGTCCCTGCTCACACCAGCTGGTTATGGGTGCGAAAAACAGCTGCCTAAATGTCAGCAATTCACATTTCCTCTGAGCAGTACAAAGTACAGGACAGTGGTGTGCCTGGACCTGCTTTAACTGTTTGTGAAGTCCAGGGAGGATGTGTTTGCTCCCTCCCAGTTTAGCCCTCAGCCTTGACAGCTTTGCTTTCTTTCTCCAGGGTCACATAAGCTTCCTGAAGAATCTGGTGTCATCTGATTATTCTTACTTGTGGGTTAGGCCCTCGGTGTCCCGAGAGCAGCTACAGACTATTTCTGCAGAAGTAGATGAAATAGGAAAACTAGTCTTAGGGTAAGTGTTTCTTCACAGCTCTCTACACACCCACCTGCCTGCCCCAGAGCACTGCTCTTGGCTGCTGTATTGATGTTGGACACGCTTATGGGTTTTATTTAATTTGCTCTACTTTGGAATGTGCTGTAGTTAATAACTAGTGAGAAATTCTGTGTTTTTAATTGAAAAGCAGCTTGCCAGTGGGAAAGCTCACATCAGTGCTCTCAAGCAAGAATTATGACGTCTGGATTTTGTAAAGCACCAAGCACAGCAGAGTGTGTGTGCCAGCATGGTGCTAATGAAGCAGCGGTGTTAGCAGGGTTTTCCTGTGCCACCTGATCTCCTGTGCTTTTTGCCTGCTGTAGCATCAGCCTGGAGAAGTGCGAGGTGGTTTTGGTCAACGTGTATTCAGATTATGTAATGAGACTTCTGGTTCTCTGGAATGAACCCAGTTTGTGTCCAGCCAGAATCACTGTCACTTCCGAAGAGCTCGTCCCCGGGGGACTTTTCCTGCTTCCATTTCTGTGTCTTTAGCTAGCAGTCTGCAGTTCTATCTGCGCAGCAACATTGCTGGAGCGGCACACAGTCTGCCCAGTCTAGGACCTCCCTTCTATGCCAGTGAGTTTTATGGTGTTTTTCCAATGAGGTTCACTGCTGCCCCATGTCTCTCTGCTACTCCACATCGTGCAGCTAGGCAGGGTGGTATGTCAGTCGCCTTTCCAGTTCAGGTCTCACCTCTGGACTAAAATGAGCCTTGAAAACCAGTTTCAGGAGTAATTAAGGTGGCAGTATCTACAAATTGAGCCATTCTTTCCAGCTTGTTGGAAGCTTATCTGTCAAGCTTGTTGCCCTCAGTCATTTGTCATAGCAGAGTGGTAACTGAATCCAAGAGATCGTAATTTAAATGTCAGAATACTCACTATCCTGGAGGGATAGTAGTACTGCTACCTACAGCTCAGTAGTATCAGCTGCACCTGCATCTCTAAAAGTCACATTATTAAAAAAGAAATCCGAATTACTGCTTTTGCTGTGGTTTTCCTGGTCTGTGGCATAATTTTGTGATTTAAACTTGATGCTTGCGTTTCTGAACAAACTCTGCTTCTGGTGCTGTTGAAGTAAAGGCGTGGTTTCGCAAAGCAGAGTCTTAGCAGCAGTATGGAGGTAAAGCAGTCCCACCTGACAGCCTAGGAGGGGACCCGCGTACACCACCAACGCTGCAGTGCGCAGAGGGACTGCCCTGGCACAGAGCAGCAGTGAAGGGCAGGGAAGTTTACCTTGAACGGCTGCTGTTGCCAGAAGATTTTTGCAAAACCAGTCTGAGGGAGCTGGCACTCATCAAAGTCATTAGTCATTTCTGGGTAGGAATCCTGTGTTTTGTACACCCCCAGATTGTAAGGACATTTTCTTTCCTAAAGGCTTATGACAAGGCAGGCAGCTGTTTTGACTGTGGAGGAGCTGAACAAAGACTTGAGAAGCCTCCAGAAACAAACCAAAGAGACTAAGTACAGCAGCATGATGAAGCTCCTTCGCTTGGCTCTCAGTGGTCAGCAGGTAAAAAATAAAAATTCTGAGTCTGGAACTTTCTGTTGTTTGTTTTGTTTTTTTTTTTTTAAAAAACAGCTATCTTCTCTCCGATAGCAAGATACTGATACGTGCAAGAATTGACACCAGTTTCTGTTACGAGCGAATGTACTGATATACAGCAATTCTGGAAGAAAAGGCTGTTGTGAAAGTTTCAGAAAGGCAGAAGTTGTCAAAGTAGGAATATGCTGGTCACAAATCTGAAGTTAGAAAAACCTCTGGACCAGCTGTAGGGAGCGTTGTTCAAGGTTGTAAATTTTGGGCAAAACTGGGATTTTATGTGCAATCCGCTTTTATAAAGTTCAAAACCAAGTTCTACCAAAGTTCTTCAGAGCCTTATCCTGGCTTAGGCTCTGACATCAATCCTTCTGGGTCAGTTTGACCATTTTTAGCACTTCTGGATTAAAAAAAAAAACCCAACCCTTGTTTTGAGATCGCTAATAAAACCCCTGCCCTTGGTCTAACAGCAATCTGATAGCTAATCACTCTATCGTTTCCGCCATGATGATGCATAGCATTAGCACGTGCTGAAAAGTGTAAGTTTCCATTTGTACAGTGACTTCTTATGTGTTTTCAGCATGGACCGAGCGTTGCTGAGATGATGGTGACTTTGGGACCCAAAGAAGTGTGTGGAAGAATACGCAAAGCACTGTCTAGCTAATATGAGACTGAAATGATGCCGACAGCCAGCCCTCGGACTCAGATGGTGTAGGCAGCATGTGTCATTGTCCTAGACCTGTATTTTTTGATCTCAACGTGATTCTCTTTGATGAGATGAGCTGGGCTTTAGAGCAGGCAGGTGTCACCGTGATGTTTCCAGGTCTGTATGTATCCGCACTAAGCATAAGCCAGTTTGTCTGGGAGAATAACCAAATACAGATTTAGGTCCATCCTTCTGCTTTCATCTTGTGCAAATAGCCTGGTTTCCAGGTTGGGAGAAAGAGACTTTTATCTGCTTAAATTCAGACCGTGTGGACAGAAAATAATGTTATTTCTCATACCAGTGCGGCTCGTCTCGAGCGATCGGTCCCTTTTTGGAGATGACCTCACAGTCGGGGTGCCTACAGCTACGACTACACAGGTCTCCAACAAATACTGTGGGGAGGGTATTTTTATAAATATGTGTGTATATATATATGATATGTATATCATAGCTGCTGCCCTGTTAGCTGCCCTGGTCTCCTGCTGGGCTGAGTGAGCTGCTCGGAGAGGGGGGACTCTCCTCTCCGTGTACTGTGTCACGCGTGTGGTTCTGCTAAAAATATCCCTGACTGGGAGATTGGGATGTTTTTTCCTCTTTTGGATGATGACCTTTTCATTATTAAATTAACGTGGTGACTTTTGATTCCGTTCTCGCCAATGCGCTGCTCGCTCCGCACGCCAGTTGAGGGGAGGAGCAGCCGGAGGAGTGG